TGGCTACGTTTACACCGTGCATTTAAGCCGCGGCCTATACAATAGATGTCCTTGTTTATCCTGTAGGTTAAACAAAGACATCTATCGTATAGGTCGCGGACTAAACGCGGTGTAAACGTAGCCAGTGTCTGACTGTGTCCTCGCTGGAAAACAAGCTAGGTATGCTTACCGAGCGATTGAATATGATTGGTTGGATCTATAAGCAACAACCAATTATGTTTATTTGCTTGACGAGCAGGCTAGCCGCTTTGTCAACTTGAACGCGCCCATTGTTTTCATTGTTTTTCATTATTAACCGTTGTTACGCAGTCGAATTTCTTCAGTAATTTTTTCAATAACGCAATTTAGGAAGCTTCAATATCGAAGAAATTGATATTGTAATGAAAAAATTTATGATATTGTACGTGCGAGTGTTGAAGAAGTAAATATTAACTTGTGAAGAGATTATAACCTAAAAATTCAACGTACGTATATGATAAGAATATAAAATTTAACGTATAAATTGTACCTTCGATTAAAAAATAGTTTATTTTTGTATATCTATTTGATGTTTCATTTATTAAATTATTTTCAAACAAATATTTAGTTTTCATTGGTTTATTCTAACGAAAAAATACATGATATTTCATGTACGAAAACTGAACAAGTAAAAATCAATTTAAAGAAGGATTATAATTTATATAATGTAATTGTCTTTTCGATATTATATAAAAATTAAATTTATGTTTATACATTCATTATTCAATATGTAATTATTTTTAGATTGCAATATTTTTTACTTTGATGAAAAGATTTACGATATTATAGGAAGGAGTGCTAAACAAGTGGAAACCCTTTTGAGAAAGAATTACGACTTAAAAACTTAAGGTATATAATATAACTTTATTTTTAATGTAAAAATAATTTATCTTTATATACTTATGATACAATATGATACATCATTATTTTCAGGTATTTGTGTAATTTTATTCTAAATAAGGAATCTCAACATGGTTTGCGAGAAATGTGAAAAGAAATTGGGCAAAGTTATTACTCCGGATCCCTGGAAGACAGGCGCAAGGAACACAACGGAGAGCGGAGGACGTAAGGTTGGAGAGAACAAAGCTCTTTCTGCAGGAAAGGCACGATTCAATCCATACACCACGAAGTTCGAGATCTGTAGAATATGTAGGCAGAAAGTCCACCAGGTGGGATCCCATTATTGTCAGTCCTGTGCATATAAGAAAGCTATATGCGCTATGTGTGGTAAAAAACTTATGAATACAAAGAATTATAAGCAGTCGGCTACATAACTTTTTTTATATTTAAAAAATTAATTTTAATGTAAAGTTTAATATTTAAATTTATATTCACCTCTGTTCATATCTGTTATCCATATTAAAATTATATATTTTCTGAATCTTATAATATGCTGTCGTATTCAAACGGCTGCAAATTGTACAATCTTACAATACAGTATTCTTGGCTCTTAGATTATCCAAAAATTTAATCTTATCCGCTAGTGATATGATGATTCTAATCCGTTCGCTTGTGCGTTCTTTAACATGCAACATCTGACACTCGTTCATCTTACTATTCTCATCCTCAGATTTAAATTTACTTCTGCTTTCGCTATTTATTTTACTTTTTAACGATTATTCCTTCTTTTCTAATTCAACCAAGGATGAAACTATTCAGATAGATTCCTTTATTTTCTAAAGCATTTTGATAATGTTGTCTAATTTATATACAGTTAATTAAGATTTAATATAATATGGTGGATTTTTTGATAAACTGTAGCGAATTTATCTGTATCAGAAATCTCTTCTTTCTGTTTACCCTAAGTAGTGTTGACATTCCATGAATAACAAAGGAAATTCTTTTTATATAAATGTATTTATGTTATTAAATAAATGTATTTAATTTTTTACACGATAGTTTATATATATAACATAAATAATTACTAAAAATAAAAGAAAAAAATAATTAAGGACAGTGTGCACATAAAAAATTGATGGTTATATATATTTCATAATAAAATGTTTACATATATACATACCGTGTTTTTTAATAATTTATCTCATGAAACCTGTACAGGCGTAAAATAATATTTAAGTGTGATATTGACAATATTAATTGCAGCTGCTAAACTGTTACGCCAATTTCTTTTTATAAGCGAAACTGTTTATCCTCATCCTATCTCTTTTTTGTCAATATTCCGTTCCGTGGTTTCTTTCTCCATGGGAAGGCAGCCTCACTCGGAACGCACCCGTCGTCTACTTGCATTATGGTTATATTCAAATGGTCAAACGTGTTTTCGACAGTCGAAAGTGTTTTCCTTTATTTATATAAATGATACAGGTCTTGTGCCTGAGTAAAATTCTTTCCTCAGATGGAAAACAAGATCTAACGACTGTGGGACTGGAGTCCTTAGCTTCGCGAGAAGTGAAGAGAAACAGACGACTCTGAAAATAAACTCTGGAAATAAACATACAAATCTTGACAAAAAATTATAAAAGCGAGTCTCTACTCCCCGAAGAGACTCTAGCTTGATCTATAGATCAATCTAACATTCTGGCACTTTAATCTTATTTGTGAGATTAGAAAGCCATCCAGGAGGAAATAAGAAGAAGAAGACAGTCGAAAGTAATTTTTCGAACGTTCGGACAACTCATATCCTGGTTGTTATTTTTCAAATTCAGGATTGCTCAGGTAAGTAAAATCTATGTAAAAATGTGTTCTAATCACGGTCCTGGTATTATTTTTTCCATTTTCAGTATTGTTTAAATTTTATTTATGTCGAAAGTTACAATATACGTTCGGGGTTAATTGGCACCAAGTCACCCCTGGAGACATGAAGTCCCCATCTAATCTCGATTTTTTATTCACAATATTTTTACTATATTTTCATGTTAATTACAGCATGGTTCGCAATTACAAGCGTAAAACCGAACTCGTCGATATAGATAGAATGTCTGCAGCTATGCTAGCCGTCAAAAGAAATAATATGAAAGTTGCAATTGCGGCGAAAAAATTTGAAGTATGTAGAAGCACATTACAAAAGTGGCTGAAAAATATAAACGAAGAAAGAACAGAGGCGATTGGAGTGGTTCCACTGACACATGGCCAACATGCGGTGAGTTTCATTATCATAATTTTTCGAATATCATAATTTGAGCGAATTTTGTTATCATAAAATCCATCTTATTTTAAATTTTCACGGAAAAAGCAGAGGCGACTCTAGTGGAATATTTAGAACACTGCAACAACATGTACTTTGGCTTTTCAACAAAGGAAACACGAGGTTTAGCATATGATTTTGCGAATAAATTGAAATTAACAGTGGCCATCGGCTTGGGATATCACCTGTATGGCTGGTGAATATTGGTTAAGTGGCTTTCTCAAACAGCACCAGAATTTGGCTATACGAAAATCGGAAGCGACAAGTTTAGCGCGTGCCACTAATTTCAATCCAATTAATGTCAAAAATTTTTTTCTCACTATTGAAAAATGTAATGGACGAATTCCATTTTCCGTGCCAAAACATTTGGAATATGAATGAAATCGGAATCACGACAGTGCAAACACCTAATCGGATTATTGCTCGACGTGATAGTGAACAAGTTGGAAACGTATCTTCTTCTGAACAACGTGTACTCGTGACTTTGTCAATGGCAGTATCAGCAACAGGAAATTCTCTTTCACCTTTTTTTATTTGTCCAAGATAGCATTTCAAGGACTATTTTCTCAACGGTGGACCACCCGGCTGCGGAGGCGCTGCGAATCCAAGCGGTTGGATGAACGCGGAACAATTTTTCGAATTTTTGGTGTTCTTCCAATCCCACGTTCATGCCTCCATCCATCAACTCATTTTGCTCGTGTTAGACAATCATAAGTCCTATTTATCAATTAAGGGATTAGATTTTTACAAATCCAATGGTATGATTGTTTTATTGTTTCCACCGTACTGCTCGCATAAGCTTCAGCCACTTGATCGCACTGTCTACGGTCCCTTGAAAAAAGCCGTGAACGCGCAGTGTGAGTTTTGGATTACATCCAATCCTGGGCGTTCAATGTCAATTTACGACATTCCTCAAATTGTTAGTAAGGCACTGCCACTTGCCGTAACCCAGCGAAATATTATTTCAGGGTTCGAATGCATCGGCATTCACCATTTAACGCGGACATTTTCCAGGAGTACGAATTTTTGCCGAGCAATGTAACAGAGCGCCCATCTATTTCGTTAGCACAACATGAACAGACTGAAGCTCCAATTTCACTATCACCCTCACGGACTGAACTTCAGACGCTGGAAAACGAACCGCTGGCTTCATCAACAACACGTCGTGATGAGGAGAGTACGACTGAGGAAGACGAAAGTTCGACAGCAAGTGACTCTGTTAGCAATTGGAGCGAAACGCTTGAAAGTATTTGTCATCCGAAAGCAGGGTCGAGAAAGCAAACGCATTGAGATCGTAAACGTAGGAGGTGTGCCGTGCTCACAAATTCATCTGAAATGGTAGAACTGGCAGCAGAGCAAGAAACAGCTAAGACCAAAAAAGCGGTCATAAAAAATATAACAGATGCTCCAAAATACATAACAGATGCTCCAAAAAATATAACAGTTACTCCAAAAAATATAACAGTTGCTCTAAAAAAGAAAGGTCGACCCAAAAAAACGGTACTGTCGGCAAACTCTGATCCGCAATCATCGACCAGTACTGAAAGAACACGTAAGCCGCACTCTTCGAAAAAGATAGTGGATTCTCTGCAGTTATCTCCGTCCGATTCCGAAGATGACTACATTTGTCGTGTATGCTCTGAGAACACTGAATCTATGTTCAAAGACAAAAAGTGTTTTGTATGCAGGCATGTTGCACATGACAAGTGCGTACGCTTTATTTGTAAACACTGTTTATCAGAAGTGATTATAGAATCAGAAGATTCAAATTAAAGATTCAAATTGAAATTTAATAAAATTTTTTATTGTACCATAATGGCGTCTTCATATTGTATCGAAAAAAATCAAGTGCCCATTTAACCCTGGCATTGTTGAGATTTCATTTTCCGAGGTCACATCATTTTTTGTGTATATCGATGAAATGAAACTGCAAACACCTAAACTTATTATTGCTGTTTTGTAGTATATCCTATAATCACTCTATAAAACGGTAATAATCATTTGACTTGAAATTGTTTATTTTGTTATTGAAAATTACAATTATAATTGAAAAAAAAAGGTGCCATTTAACTCCGATCTCCCTTACCTATTAGATTTGATTAGATTATGAGGTCTATATATTTTAACGTGATGCGAATTATTCTAAAAGCGTGATATAATCGTAATCGAATAAAACACTCTTTATCTCCTCACAAGAATCTATCACATAAAAAAATATATTTTTACAACATCAGTATGTCTAAAAATATACACTTTTATTCATTAAAACTTTATACATTCGTTACTAACAAATTATAGACAATAGCATTATGTTACCAACATGTTAATCTTGAAATAAATTATATTACACAATTATTTTTAACGTACACAGAAAGACTCGATGACTAACTTGCATCAGTTAACAATAACATTTCTAATACGATAATACTAGATTCGCACACAGTAAAACATTTGTATCTTGATCAATGTCAATCGCGCGTTATAATAAATCTAATATATTTTGGAATTTCTGTTGTCTTTTCAGAGAACGTCGAATAACAAAAAAAAAATACGATATCAAACAAATATTTTGATTACATAACAAAAAAGCACTCTTTTTTTACATAAACCATTGAAATTAAGATTTTCAAAGTGTCCGATATTTGCTTGAACATCAACGTTTGAAGCGAATAGTACAATTATGCGAAATATTTTATTAATTAGTATTTACTTTGTATCTCACAAGGATGATATTAACATAATACGTGTGAACAATTAGACGTAAAATTATGAGCTACGTAAATGTTAGTACATTAATGAACAAAATCATTACAAAGTCCCAGATTTATACATTATTTCGCTTACATGCTACGCGATCTATTATTACACGGTCTATTATTTGATTACAAACATCTTGTCTACGAAATTATTTGTATCTCATAATGAACGTATAGGATGATATATAAGATACTTTTATTTAAGTAAAATAAAATATTCATCAGACTGCAAACATTAAGATAAAAATAAAATGATTTTTGATCTTCTCTTCTGGAATAGCCGCGAAATATATTTTTGAGAAGAATATAAATGCGGAAATTGTAATACTGCGTCTTCGCTATACATTTGGCATTAAATATGATTATCTCATTTTGA